GACAGCCACCCATCGGCGGTGACAGCGCCACGGTCAGTCGCCGTGTCGCTGTTCCCGGGATCGGTCGATCGGGACGGCGACCGGCCGGCCAGCCTCGCTAATTGGCAGCCGCGTTTTCTGATAGAGCGGCTATCTCCTGCCTAGCTAATTATGTGCTTGTAATAAACGAGTGCTGCCAACGACTATATTAACGCTGTCATTTAATGGTCCAAGGGTACGCCCACTCGGAATGCGTGTGCGTCACGATAACTCCTTTTCTTTTTGAGAAAATAACTCCTTTTCTTTTGAAACGATAATAAGTACTCCCTTTGTTTTAAAATTCTTATCTTAAATTTGTCTAAATTCAGATGTATCAAGTCACGCTTTAGTATTAGATACATCCGTATCTAGACAAATTTAAGACAAAAATTTTGAGACGGAAGAAGTAGTACTAGTACTTATAATTGCAGAAGTTAGAATTTGTAACAAATAATTTTTTCAGCACAAAATATTATTATTATTGTGGAGAAAACCTTTTGATCTATTCATCAAACATCATCATAGTACACAGAACATTAAAAGTAATAAAAATACCTTCATATCCGTAGACATATAACGACGGCTAGAAGTATTGAAACGAGTCGAAAGCATATCACTGGCATCGACTCTCCCTCGTCAAAGTCTGACATACCTTGTTGTAGTAGACAGTAAAAAAGTCATCGTGCTTAGGCACCAAATAACCGGCGCGCCATAATAGCAACCCTCGCCAACAAAGAGAATTATAGATCGGAAGGATCCAACTTGTACACATACGAAGGCAGACGAACAAAGACCGGATCCAAGCAGATCCACCGAAGACAAACACCGCAGATCCATCAAAGACAAACAACAGGTCAATCTGCGAGATCCGTTGGAGACACACCTCCACATGCCCTCTGACGACGTAGGCACACCGACGGGATGGGGGCTGGGCGGAGAGAAGGTTATTCCATCTTCAGAGAGCCTCCACCGCCTCGCCAGGCAAATCCTAAACAAACTAAAAAAACACCTAAAAAGTGAGTAGGAGCCTTCCTGCCGGTCGGGGTCCACCATGCCTCCATTGCCCTAATGTCATGAAAGATGAGGCAGATCAACGACGACGCTCGGCGAGAGGTAGGAAAACCCTAGTCGCCTGGAGCCGCCCGTGAGAAAAAGTAAGATGGTTTTCTCATTCGCCGCCGAGTATACTTCCTTACTACTCCACAAGTTCCTAAATATAAGTCTTTTTAGAGATTCGAATACGGACTACATACGAAGCAAAATAAGTGAATCTACACTTTAAAATATGTCTATATACATCCTTATATATGTAGTTCGTATTGAAATCCCTATAAAGACTTATATTTAGACATGAAGGAAGTAGATAGAACAAACTATTACATCACGGGAAACATTCATCTAAATGTGTAACTAATTTGTAAATTCAATTTAGAAACAATGATGGGTGGCTTTACATTTTCTTATATAATTCTATGAACTTCAGATACTATATTATGCCATGTGACATACAATTTATAATTTATACAGTGAAA